ATATACCGTATATATATATATATATATACACACACACACACACACACACACACACATACATACATACATACATACATACATACATACATTTCAAAGACAAATAGGAAAAACAGGGAGGAGCAACGTCGGCTAGCTAGCGCTTGCCTAAAGAAAGGCATACCATCCCTTTTTTGAACACCCTGACAAACCGAAATACGCGTTTAACATCACAGCGGCCAATAATAACAAACCGTGTTATGATCAAATGACTAGGTACGCATCATCTAGCAATAAAAACGTTAGTTTTGCCCACATCTATCATTATTTTCTTACGTTGGAATTGAACTAGCTTACTGGCAGGATATAAATGGCTTCCTCGTGAAAAAATCGGCGCAGTTGTGAACGTTTCTTCACTTACTGTAGCTGTCTTCACCTCTCGCTTTTCCTCCGTGTCCGTCTTCCTTTGGCTATCAACACAATTACAGCACACGCAACCTTTAAGGCGCGATCATTCGTACTGACAAATGTAATGAATTCAATTTCTTAACAGCTTAAATATATTTTATTTCGGATCTCTACCTTCCCCCCGTTTGGCGCATTTGTTAGACAATGTGGCTAAACCAGGGCCACTTTTATGACACCACTTTATACTAACCAATCGAAACGAAGTTCTGATTCGTAAAATCCCGCCCCTCTCGTCGCGCGGCTTCAACTTACAAGTTCGTCTTTGCGCATTGATGCTTCTGCGCATGTACAATGGCGCAATAAAGCAATAATGGCGGGGAACCGCAGTTATTAAGCCCACACGTAAAGATTTCCCCCCGGGTAACATAGTTTGTAACAGGCACTATTATATTTAGATGGCATAACATCGCCAGGTAGTCTGTGATTGCCTAAATTAAGAAGTGCATACTGAGGGCAATTCAGTCAAATCTTCAATACAAACCTATTCATGATAATACGTGAATTGTAGCAATGTTTTATTAAACACTGAAACCTCAATCTGCACATAACTGTAAGACTTTCTGTATGTGTTATTTTTTATCTTTACTAAGTGTAATTCAGTAATCCAGAACAGACTTGCCATTATATGTAGTCTGTAGTGTCTTATAATAAAATTACTGCACAATACAATTGACCTCTATTTTTGCATGCATACAGCTTGCCCTATTACAAACATGTCACAAGGCGTGCCTCGTTTTTAGTCTGTACCAGAATATACTAGGTCTAAGGCATTAACTATGGTTATAGTACCTAAAGCATGTAGATCAGCTTCTTTAACTGGATGAACTATGAATTTTGGAGCTGATTGCATTATGAGGGAAACCCAGTTTGTGTTATATCCACAAGAGAAAATCTTTTGTTAGTTTTTTGATTAGTCAAAAATAGACTCTGACTTCCGGACTGACAATCCTGCATCATAGAGATACAAATTGTTTGGCCTGTGGTTTAAACAACCTTTCATTGTAGTCCGATGTTTGAAATCCCTTGGTTGAAGGTATTGCTTCATAGTCTATTCATTCTTGTGTCCACTTTTTAAACTAGAAAGCTAACTTGTCACATGAACCCTGCTCAGTTCCAATTGGCACCATTTTTTGGTTGTTTTTATGTTTCTGATTGGCATACATTTGAAAATTTTATGTGCATAGTGGAGCTTATTGGGTAGTTGCCTAAAACCTGGAACACAAGAAGATGATTTTCAGCCATTGAAAGCTGTTAGTCTGTCAAGGAGACTCGGTGACTGCCTGTCATCTCAGTGTGTATGACACAGTCGGACAAGTTGGTACACGTTGCTGTTTTGGCCAATTGAGCATGCTGAATTGGTGTCAAAGCTAGTTGGTGAAACTGAGCTTTCTGATTGGGCTGCATGTCAGTTGCTACCATTAGCCGTGTAAGTGTGTTTCAGCACACATTTTCACCATTGATTGGAGGGTACAGGAGCTGAGGCTTTAGGGTTTGAATCCTGCCTTTGCTCTGTGTGTGTTCTCCAAGTGGTGTGTTGGTTTCCTTTGGGACGTCCAAAGACATGCAGTTATCCTAATTGGCATCTGTATCTCATAGTGTATATGCACCCTGTAATGGATGCATCCCATATTTGAGCCCTGACCTGCCTGGGGTAGACTCTGGGAAAGTTGGCTTAATGTTATAGGCTAATAATTCCCTATCGGTGGCCATAAAGGACACTTAACTAAAAAATGAGGGACTGGAAATCAATGGCAGATTTTCAAGGTCCCAAAGCTGAGTAAACAAGTATTACATACAGAAGGTTCACAGGAACTTGGTCAGTTTATGAGAAAAACAATTCTAAAAGGCAGAGGTGGAAAGTCCAGGTTCAGAAAGTACAAATCCAAACCAAGATTTTGTTTCAACCAATCAGTTGAGTATGAAGAGTCACATTCCCAGAGTACTCAGCTGGTTGGTTGAGACACAATCTTGGTCTGGATCTGTAGTTTCTGAACCTGAACTTTCCACCTCTGCTAAAAGAAAATACCGAATTCCTTCAATACTCAACATGTCATTCATTCATGCAAGTGTGATGGTCTATTTCTGACAAACGTTATTGCAACTTCAAGAATGAAGATGTACATAACAGATTTATTCATGTAAAACCATAATAGGCTTACATTTTACAGGAAGCATACAGAGGAATACGGTTTCATGAGCATATTTCACATATATTATTTGAAATTCAGAATTGGAAAAGGTCCATATAGATAACTTTTTCTTCCTCCTGCTAGGTTTTCTGTTCTGGAATCAAGAGATGTAACAGCTTTTGGGTCAGTGGTTTGGTAGCATTGGTTGACGTTGACCTTCACTTTCCTTGTTATCTTCAGTTTTGCTCTAGATATGCTATATAGATAATCTGCATCTTCTTTTCCAGAACTCTATACAGGACAAAAAGGCTGACAGCAAGAACATACAAAAACTGTTTCTAAGTTTTAATGCATGAACATAAATGTGTTGTGTGGTATACTTCAGCCTCATAAAGGTATACAATCATTTTTAAGCTAATAAACTCTTTTTTTTGTTTCTTGAAGCTCATATACAGGCTTTTAGGTAGCAACAGGAGTCATAACTTGCAAAGTTAACTGAAGTTTAAATTGAACATAAAGTACTAACTTCCCAACTGCGGGGTTGTGAGTTTAAATCCATCCACGCTGTTTTTCCGTATTCTCCTGGGGTACAGATTTCTCCCACAATACAGTCATGCACGCTGTGCTCCTAAGATTAGCTTTTGATCACTTTGACTCTCAAGAACTACATTGACTACTCAAGAAGGTTGTGAATTGCAAACCAAAATCAGGCATTACATGGCAAAAACTTCTGCAAGCTGTTTGCAGTTGAGAAGTTGTTCCACAGTTGTTCAGAAAAGGTATAACTTGCCCAAAATATCTTAGTAGCATTTCCATTAGTCTTCTTGAGGCCTGGGAGTTAATTATTCATAACAAGAAGTTACAGACACTAATATTTGTTGTAGGTCTGCTGCTTGACAACACGGAATTCAATGGATCTATATTATCCTGGTCAGGGTAATATGTTGGGCGGCTGGAGCTGATCCTAGGCGGCACAGGGCCAAGGTTGGGGTATACACAGGACAGGATGCCATTCCATCTCAGGCTATATAAACAGAATTATACACTATGGACAATTTAGAGATGCCAGTTACACTACTGTATGTCTTTGAACTGTGGGAGGAAACTGGAGTACCCAGAAGAAACTCATACAACACAAGAACATGCAAACTCCACACACTGTGCACTGATCATAAATGCCAATTCATGTTTTAGTGACATAAGCTTGTATATCTAACAAATTTCCCCCCAAAAATTCTAGTGGTTTAATGTGTTTTAGTCTCCATATCTGTTAACTTCGAAGAGCTAATTAAGGTTTCTTCGATTCAGTCTTCCAAATTCCAGTGTCTTGATAATACATTTGCCATTCCAGAAGGTTACAAGCTTCTATACAAAGCTAGCAATGAAACTATTTAAGCTTAGAGTCTATTACTCAAAAAAACATAAAAATACACACAGGGTTCTTCTTGAGCAAGAAAGACAAACTGTTTGTATGCCTGTAATGTATCTTCCCGTGTCTCCCATCCATTTTCCAGTACAACATATTACAGGGTTGCTCTGAGCCCATGAAATACGGGGAACAGTGCAAGGGACACCCTGGACAGGATATCAGTCCATTACAATGCAAATACCCAGTTTGAACTATTTAGAGATACCAGTTCACTTATCTTTGGATTGCAGTGGGAAACCTGAGTTTCTCGAGGATACTCAAACGCAGATAGAACAGGCACTTATGGCCAGGGTTGGTAAGACCCCAACCCTAGTGGTATGAGGCTGTATTTACCCCCTCCCCCCAACTGGACTTTTGATAGTTAACTCTTTATGATGGTGCAATATCAGTGGTATCTGTTTTTAGTTTCTAATAGTTGCCTGATATTACCTCCATTGGTTGTGTTGTGTAGTATGCTTATTGCTCTTCCAAAAGAGAATGGATTAGGAAGGTACTGCATTGGTACTCCCACAGTTTCAACTTCCATATGCTCCAAAGCCAAGAGAATTATACCTTTGAGCAACAGATTCCAAACCACAGTTAGCATACACATTAATATAAGGTCAATGGAAGAACCAATAACTGACACAAGTGTCATTGTGCCATTTTCCAGATTGAACCAAAGAGATTTTTATAAAACGTTATAGTAAACAGATGATCTTGCAGTTTTTTACATTTCATGAGTTCCAGGGACAATTCCTAGCTTTTGGAAACTTATCACATTGACTATTTGTGATGGAGAATGTTTTTCCATCGACATTGATCTGATCACTGTTCTGTTATACAGGCATGAAGCATGCCCACATATGTACATAAAAACTTTTGGTCAAGAGGCGAGATCATCTTCCATAAGAGGTCAGGGAGAAAATCACCAATATGATCAATTCCTAGAGGTTTTTGAAGAGTGTGAAATGACCACTTCAACAAAATGTTTGTTGCAGCATAAACTACATTAAGATACAAGCCTGGGTCAAATTAATGACTCCACCGGCAAATCATTTAACATTTAGGAACGTAAATTCTATTATTTCTATTTATCAAACAATGGGGAAAAGAAAGAAAAAAAAAATCAAAAACGTTTCATGGGCTGATATAGCGAACATTTATTTAATTGTAATGGCACATAACATTTCTGGAGGAAGGATACATTGATTCATATTTGGCAATGAAAAAATGTAAAAACTACATTCTGTCATTGATGTATCTCAAAATAAAAGCCTTTTGAGTAGTCTTTCTCTGTTGCCCACAAAGTAAAAAATAAAAAAAATAAAAAACTTTTCAGTGCCTCTGGTCCTCAAAAATGCAAATTTGATGTAACACTAAAAAACACACACAAAAAACCACAAATGGCACTTTCCTATTTGATATTAGTGACAACCAGTACCAAATATGTGTTTAATCTTGAACTGTGAGGAAGGATGATATAGGAATTTTATATGGGTGACAAAAAAGGGTAATTACCATTGAAATACAAGATGGAATATAGTTCAATACAAGAAAAGTGTGCAAGTTAGTTGTAGCTGTCAAGGGGCTATTTTCAAGAGTACCACCTATTACTTGGATGTTCATTTTTAAATTAAACAGTAGAATTAAAAGACTTATATTTATAGGGTTGAGAGTTGGGTGGGGGGTAGGTGACATGGTAATGTGTGGATGTTAAAATAGGGGCAAGAGAATTCTGCAAATTTCTGCAGTTTATTTTTCAGATTAACTATTGTTAAAACTTAATAGCAATTGTCAAAATACCAGTTCAAAACAAATTCATAAACAAAAAATAATCAAAGATGGAAATGCATATAAAATGAATGTTCCTAGGACAAACTCCCAGGAACTGATGGATACCATGGGAATTTGCAGCTTAATCTGATTAGAAATGTTTAGGGTTTGTAAATATAACACAGCTAACAGACAACTGGCTTAGAAAGAATAACAGTAACTGGACATCAGCATTTATAATGTTACTGTAAAACAGTGTCATTTTTAAAAACTGATATCAGCTGAAGAGACCCAAAACAGATGTAAGATGATCCTCTAATAAAGGACCTTTCAGACGAAATCCTGCAAAGATGTATGCCAATATTCTTAACGTTTTGGAAATCCACAATATTATGTACATTTCCAATTGGGTTTAAGTAGAAAAGACCAAGTCATGACAAATACACATCTTTTTTTTCCCAAATCCAATTCATCTTCAGCAGTTTCAAAACTACCAGATACTTGGAATCTATAGAACTATACAGATTCATATTGATCCAAACTGGAACCAGATAACCTTCTATAACCGTACTGACAAACCCAAGCAAAACAAACTTCAACAATACAAAAAGTCATCTGAAAACTCTGGATCAGAAAAATGTCAAACTTGTGGAACATTTTCATAACTTTCCTCTGTCAGATGCGTCATCATTGTTCATCTTTTTGATTTTAGGTTGACTGTGAATGCCAGGAGGAATAGTTCATGAACATAATTAGTTTCATAAGTCACACACACTTCACAAGACATTGTTTTGGGAACTCCATTATGCAAGGCTATCTGAGCCATGGGCACTCTGGTGCTGCAGGAATGTCACCAAACAAGAGAAAGTCTGGGTGCATTCTGTGCATTCATACAGCACTTCAGCTGCGATACTTCCATTAGCCTCCTCTTCCTCTAAGTATTCTTCATCCTCAAGATCTTCATTGTCATGTTCCAAAACTAAGGCAGGATCCTGACCACACAAAGTGGTAGGAGATATTTGCACTTCTTTGTCATCATCTTGTGGAGAATGACTTTGGTGAGTTTCGAGATGGCGTATTAATGAAGATGACTGACGGAAACGTCTTGGACAGCGGGGACACTTGTGTATCTCACCAGAAAGCTCCCGTCTGTGATAACGCTGGTGACGTTGGTAAACACAAAGCAACCCAAATCCTTTACCGCAAACACTACACTGGAAGGTCACCCGAGGTTTGGAAGGAGTCTGTGCCTCTTTGGCATCTAAGGGGTGCTGACTGTTGCAACCATGTTTATCCCGCTCGGAAGAATCTAAAAAAATCTTTCCACACTTTCCACAAGAATAATTACTGTTATCCTTTCTTTTGTCCGATGTACCTTTTTCTATTTCTTTTGCTTGCCTTATTTGAGGTTGTATATATGGCTTTAATTGAGGCTGCTGCAAATGTAGGTCCCTTCTACTTTCTGCAACTGCTTTTTCCGTCTCAGCCTTAGACTGTGTTCCTTGTGCATTATGATACATTGCTATGTGCCTCCTTACATCACAGCGCTGTGGGAAGTGCCTCCCACAGTAAACACAAGTATGCAAAGTTCCTTTGTGGTATCTCATGTGCCGAGACAAACTACTGGAATGCACAAACACACGGTGGCATAGTTTGCAAGGATATACACGAGCATTGTGATTTGCTTGATTCCCACGTGGAGGCCTTCCTCGTGGCTTTGGCTCTTTTGCTGGTGGACTACTTTGGGTCTGTTGTCTTGTTGTTGCCCCACATTGGACATGTTTAGGTTTAGGTTCTGGTTCAGGGCTTAAAAAGTCTTCTTGTGTCTGATGTGAGAGGTGGTGCAACTTAAGATCAGATAAATGCTGAAAGCGAATCCCACACAATCCACAGCGGTATGGTCTAAATGGTGTATTCAGACTGGAGGCAGAATCCCGACGCTGATTTGTATATTTAGGCAAGCCAATTTTAGGTAAACTATCACGTGCTTTTTCATCCTGCTGAGGCTGTCTCTTGGTAGTTGGTGTAGTACAAGCATGGGACACTACTTTTCCTTGAGCATGACTGAGCAAGTGACTCTGCAAATCAGACAGCCAAAAAAACCGAAGCCCACATAACTTGCAGGGGTACGATTTACCAGTGCTTTTTTCCTGACCCTCTTTAGAGGTCTTTGATGCTGCTTTGCTGTGCCGTTCTTCCTGATGAGCATGAAGAGTCTCTTGATTGAGGAATCGTTTTCCACAGTGTCCACAGCTATAAAATCGCTCATGTGCATGTTCTTGAAGGTGTTGACGCAGTTCCTCTCGTTCACTAAAGACCTTGCAGCACAAAGTACATTTAAATCCCTGGTCTAAGGTCCTGTAGCGCTGATGTCGTTGTAAACCAGCCCTTGTGTTAAATAACTGGCCACATGTTTCACATCGAAAACGAGCAGAGCGAGAGGAAACTAGAGTTCGACTAATGGATTCACTATAGGACTGTACTTCCTTAGTTGAAGATAGAATTACAGGTGTAATTTGAGATGTAGGAGGCTGGCTGACTGGCAACACTAATGGAGTATGCTGAGACTCGAGAGGTTCATCTTCAGTAGGTGACGTAACAGGACAGGGCTGGGTCTCCTGTGAGGAAGCCTGACTCCAAACTATATTTGGGGATGGAGGTTTATCATTGGCAGGTAAATAGTTCAATTCTACAGATCTATCTACAACTGTTAGCATGCCATTTTCATGAAGTGCAAACTCAAGAGGCGCTCCAAAGCCATTTGGGGGACAATCTAAGGAGAAGGTATCCACTGGCCCATGTGTCACCATATGATTCAAGAGGTCAGGATAATGGCTGAAGCCATCTCCACATTCAGTGCAGATGAAAGCTGCTGCTCCCCCAACCTGTTCACTGCAGTTGTTATAATCCACAATAGGGTATTCCATTTTTTCTTGGGTAATTTCAAGGAGGGACAATAGTATCACAAGATCAGGTTTAGGAAACAGCACTAAATGTACACTATATAATCGATCGATGTTATGATTTTAAGTATAATGTACAGAAAGAACACAATATAAATGTTTCACTGGTCTAAAATTTCCATTTGGTCATAATACACCAATTAATCTTAAGACTATATAAAAAGAATTTAAGAATGTACTTCAGACCATTGCGTAATGTCAAAAAAACCAAAAACACTTTTCAGACAGTGATAATGTTCACATTAGAGATTCTCAAACACAGAGGTAGCATGAGAGTTACAAAGAATAAAAACATAATCCCATCATGACTCCATGTATGCAATTTAACTCGCACTAAAAAGGAGATTGATAATTGCCATTTTGTCTAAAGAAGCACTTGCAGTGTGAACTCCAGTCTTCACCTCATTTTCATCCTATGGCTAGACTAACTATGTATAGGGGCTGGAACTCATCAATACCATCAATTTAGAACACTTCATGTGCTCACAAAATTAAGACCATATTAGCTCAGCTGATCCATCTCAGAAGATCCGTCTTCTTGTTCTTCAAGAGATAACACTAAGAGTTATTCAAGTCAGCCTTAAATCTGAAACTTTAAGTTTGTGTCTTCTTAACTTCACATGACTATCTAATGAGGCTCAAATTTAAGCCAGAAAAAATCTGATGAATTGAACTTTTTATACCCATATTGTGACTACAATCTAGATGCAGACTTTTTCTTCTTTTTTCACTGATTCAGATCTTCAGATCAGCATCTAGGCTACGAGAAAATGGAAGAGAGAAATACAAAAAATATTTATGAAAAATACAGCACAACAGGACATTTTTAATGTGATGTTTTGCAAATCTGTGACAGAACAACCAGAATTTATTTGATCATCAGCAGAAAACCAATACTCATTTTATCAGTCTCTTAGTTAAACGCATGAGTACACAAAGCATAATAAACCTAGGACAGATACCTGTGGTACACCGCATATATAGAACACGTCAGTGAGAACAATGGTGTTGCATACTTAAAACACCACCACGTTGTTTATGACACAATCCTAAAAGGTGCACAATGTTTCGATGCAGCAGACATATGGGATGTAAATAAACTTATTTTATTGAGTCCGTGACATTTTAAGAAGATGACAACTCTATTAAACTGGAAGCTGTTTTCTTTATTAACAACCACTATTGGTTTAATACTAGCAGTGGCACAGACAGGAAAACCAACAATTTACACAAAACAGTAACATGCTAACGAAACACATTCCACGACAAACAACCTTCCACAACAAGGAATCAGAACAAATGAAAAAGTTCACCTTGGGGACTCTGCACAGGCAGAGCAACAAAACCTCGATCACCCCTTTGATCACCCCTAATATAGAATTGCATTTCTATAATGACACTGATTCCATGAGGTACACAGCCACCTTAGGCTTAGCAGTAGGACATTGATACCAAATCCATCTGAAATAGGTAATTCTGAGATTAGCTGATGAACTTTCAAAGACAAAGAATCGTCTGAACCCAGACCCGGTTGACTTGTCTTTGTATCCATACAGTTTTGGAACCAGGTTGACAAGAATATGTAGTACTTGTACATCACTTTGAACAAAATTATTAGCTAAATCAACATAAAACCTTTGCTATTAAAAGGTAAATTAGCAATATGCCTGTTATTTTCAATGTCACAACAATTTTAGGTTAGGGCAATCAAAGGCTGTTTCTAGGAATAGATTAACAGGATAGATAGCACAAAGTACAAAACAATACACTGAGTCCTAATGCAACTAAATGAGAATTAAACATACAAGAATTCAGTGTGTGAAAGAAATTTAGATATTACTGGCATGTCACCAACCTCACTAACATTAACAGAGGGTGTTTTCATGTTCTTGCTGTTATAGCACAGAAAGAAACCACATCCTCAGAGAATAACAATCTGCAGAACTAAGGGTGGAAAATAGGTCAAGACACCTGGTGACCTAGTAACTGAAAGGACAAATAGAAAATCCTAAGAATAGCTTAATGCCTGTGGTCAAACTCTTAGCCAATAGTTGAAGAGGAAGACATTCTACAGTAACCTAGGAATTACCTATTCCTTGTGTATATACATTTCAGGAGGATTCCATATATACTCAGCCTCTCCTTGTCTGACCTATGATTGAGAAAACTTTCATGACAATTTGGGAACTTATCCAGGACCACCAACCCACTGGCTGACGTGACTGATAGAGTAATTGGACCAGATGTGAACATCCCTAGGAGTTGGGGGAAAGTCTCAAAGTAACAATCAGAGATGCTCTCCAGTAATCTCCTCGACCAACCCGGACCATGCTATGTGATTCTACACAGAATGCAAGACCAAGGAATCCAAGGTTGTGTTATGGGTAAGGTTACAGTGGTATACCAGTTTCACAGTATACCACGACATGAAAATTGATGGTTGTAAAATAATGTACTGTACACATGCTTTTTACTGGTATTGAAAAGAATGCAACTTAGAGAATCTCACCTGTACATCCCCTTTCCCAACTGGCTGCCTGTCAGTCTCAGCAACTAGCGCCATCCTGCCAAATCTCTTCCACTGTCACTACCTGATCCATACCACCAGCCTGATTTATAACTTGCATGCCTGCGCATTCATTTCCAAGCATGTATAAACTGCATTACATATTGTGGAACTACCTGATCCGTTCATCCTGCCATTTTATGGCAAACCATGTTGTCTTCATTGTTTAGTAAGAACTGGTGTAAATGATTCCACTGAATCCATTTTCTTTGCTTGTCCTTTTAAGTGTTCATTTGCTTGATTTCAGAACTCTCCGATCATCTATTTCCAGTTTTTGGATCAACACAATTACCAAAATATTCCATATCTGGACTATAAATATGAATATTTTCATCATTTGAAATTCCTGCTATCCTGTGGCATGGCATTTTGGTACACTTTGGTTCACTCTGAAAGAAGACCAGATATGTGCGACATAGCTCCAATATAGTACTTGGTGAAGTTTAATGACTACTGACAAAGTCTGATGGCCTGAGGGCAGAAGCTCCATCTTCTTTTTGGGACTCTGAGGGTTCCTTACAATTTGGTGTGAAATCTTAAGCAGCCTTTCTTAATTAACAAGTACATTATTACAACCTCCTCTACCGTCGTCA